TATTGATGCACATACTCTTCAATCCTTCATTGTGATGGATCCCCTGCTATAGATACAGTGTTGAACTTCCAACCCAGTCTCACAAAAAAACGTGTAATAACTACGTTGGTCCACAACTTGGGACGTAGTATTTCTACAAAAACGCCTCTGAAATTGTAAGATCCCTACGTCTTTTTTCACCATTCATTCCAATGGATGGCGTCTATGTCACGTGAGCTTCAAATTTCTCCCTTCAGAAAAAAAAACATGGCCGAACTTCGTTTTATTCTCGGTGGAAAATGCCTATTTTAAGGTTAGTTTGGCCATTAAAATGCGTTTTGATGTCATTTGATGCGAGAAATGTGAGTTGTTATTTCAGAGTATGTGTGCAGTAGATGTACACAATCTTAAGCTTGCTAGTTATTACGAAGATTACTTCAGGAAATTGTGTCTATAAAACGTTTTCATTGTTACCAAGGTGGTTGCTAGTGTGGCGGCACGTGGGGGTGTTTGTTGGAAATCCTATTCAACTAAAAGCCAGACAACGCCACCTTGGGAATGGCACCCAAGGAAATAATTATTCCAAGTACCAACAAGGCACTCAGGTTCGTGATACTGAGGGGTAGGAGACGTGGTTCCAATTTATCAAATGTTTTATTTCTGGCATTAAAATATCATTAAAAACACCATAAGATAATTATACACACTGGAAATGAAGAGGGGAACTCTTAATTCAGGGATGCTGAGGCTTACCAGTGGATGGAGGTGACGAGGGGTGAGAGGGATCCCAACAAAGTAAATTAAGGCACCCGTGATCACTACACACTCACACGAAGGAACACAAATCGGGGGGAGCACAGCACGACACACAAAGGGGGAAGCCACCACCGGGGACACCAGCACCACACCTTTGGCTCTCAGCAACTAAGAAGGGCAAACAATAAACAATTACTGGGATAAACAGTAAACACAAATTAATACACCGACCAACACATAAGATAAGTATAAGACAATAAAAAGTCAAGAATACTACAAAATACTGATTTCAAGTAACTGAAATAAACAAAACAAATTTAAAGCAACAGGGTCGAAAACTAAACCAAAGAAACGAAAATCAACCTAACAGTCTTGAATTAATCTTGAATTAAATAAACAAAACAAACTTAACTCAATGAAATAAGTAATCATGAACAGAGATTAATCGAACAGTCCACGATAACAATGTTTAAAATATGGCCCTGTAATGAAGAGCAAAGGCACAGTGATACCAAGACAGACAATGTAGGCCAAGAGCAACACCCGCCAGGCAGTAGTGTGGCAGGTGAAGCACAGTAGGGCAGGCAAGCCGACTGTGCAGACAGACACAGCCGTGAGGGCAGACCAGTGGTCCAGGCAACAGTTAGGCAGGCAATACTATGGAGTCAGATTTGGGTCAATATTCTAGCGCATAAAACAAGCTACTCACGAGCGGAAAATGTGATTTTACACGCGCCTAAAATGACCCTCGCGTGCAGATTAAACCCCCGCGAGGAGAGAGAGCCCTCTTGCTCGCTCGCGGGAGTGTCAGCTTCACTCGCTCGCGGAGTCTGTCTACGCGCGCAGTGAAAAGTTTCTGGCACTTTGGGGACGGAGCCACTGGACTTTGATTGACAGCTGCCAGGAGTTGCCAGGTTTGATAAATGCATGAACTACCAAGAGCCGAGGAGTGACAGCGGCAAGATCAGGTGGACGAGATTGAATGGTAAAGTTGTCCATAAAAAACTATTATATTCGTAAAGTGTACAACTAATATATATATATAAATTAATTTGATATAAAAAAATGACACATTAATTCTGAGTGCAATACTTTTACAAACACTATAGTAATAATATGCATTCATTATACTATTACTATAGGAGTGTTCTATAGTGTGTTCAAAAAACAACTACAGAAACACTATATAGTATACTATAGTAGTACTATTTAAAATATAGGAATACTACAAAGATCTAGATACATAGTGTTACTATTGAAATATTATAGGGCTACTATAGCTAATAAAATGGCACTACAGAAAAAACTATTGTAATACAATAGCTGGTGAAAAATACTACAGAACACTACAAACTTACTAAAGGACACTATACAACTCTTATAGTATACTATAGTAATACTATAATTCATGTATAGTTCATTTCGTAAGGGAGGTGCATACAGCAGACAGTAGCTAGCAGTTTTCCACTCAAAAATATATTGTTTTATATCAAATTAATTAATATATATATTAGCTGTACACTTTACGAATATAATAGTTTTTTATGGACAACTTTACCATTTAATCTCGTCCAACTGATCTTGCAGCTGTCACTCCTCGGCTCTTGGTAGTTCAGGCATTTATCAAACCTGGCAACTCCGGGCTTCCTGGCAGCTGTCAATCAAAGTCCAGTGGCTCCGCAACAAAATGTCAGAAACTTTTCACGCGCGCATAGACAGACTCCGCGAGTGAGTGAGGCTGACGGAGCCTACACACGGCGGCGTGCGTTGCCGCTTGGCGGTGGGCGTGTCTTGAGCTTGGGGAGTCAACGCGAGCAACGCGAGCAACAACCAATCACATGAATGTCCCGCCCCGGACATACAAAGCAAAGCATTCATGCTACATCCATGCTGGCTAAATATACTGTCTATGCTTGCTAGCTGTCCATTCAAACGAAGTACACTGGATATAAACTCTCCAAACAGGCGAAAACCTACCAGTGTCACCCACTGTCTCTGCCACCTCCCCCCATGCCTGGCTCCTCCGGTTTGTATCCCTGTATGTAAAGAGGGACTGGTGGTCATATAGTACCGCCACGATCATTTTCTCCTCCATTTTTGACATATGGGAAATAACTGCGGTCTGGCTCTCCCAACATACACGCGGTTTGATTGGCTAGCGCTTGGAATGTCAGATTTGCATACGCGGGATTTGCCGCCTCCATCGAGGCGGCAAAAGTAGAACATTGCTCTACTTTTGCAGCGAGCACCGCGAGAGAAGCTACGCTTTGCTCCCACAATGCAGTTCGGCGAATAGTGACGTCACCCCATTCAAAGTGAATGGGCAGAAGCGGCAACGCACGCCGCCGTGTGTAGGGGCCGTAACCCTCCCGCGAGCGAGCGGTTTAATCTGCGCGCGAGTCATTTTATGCGTGTGTAAAAGCACATTTTCCGCTCGTGAGTGGCTTGTTTTACGTGCTAGAATATTGACCCAAATCTGACTCCATAAATACACTCGTAGACGTAGAGCAGTCGTGAATGCAACGCAGACATAGAAGCAAAACAGAAGTCCTTTATCACGCTTCCAGCGCAGAGCCTAGCAGACATTAAGCGATCAGGTGATGTTACAATAACAATACTAGGTTAAGATCATTCAGGAAGAATGAGACAAGCAGAAGGTCTACATACTAGTGATGTTACGTATTGCGCCGAGGCTTCGGAGCGTGTGTCGAGTAATCCCCGAAGCTTTTTGTGAAGCATGTATCGAGGCTTGTATCGTTTTGTGCCAGTGACGTCATCGATGACAAACGAAGCCTCGCTGCCTGTCGATACCACGTGACTGCTTCAGGAAGCGATTCAGATCGGTTGAACCACAACGCTCATAATACCAATGGATGTATAATAAGAACCATATTACCCCTCCTGTACCCGGGCCCGGTGACACGATGGAATCAAGAGAGCTCAGACCCTCACTTATATAGAGGTCGGAACATGTCATAACGTATAAATAGATACAAGCATAAATAAATGTAGGAATAAAAACATGAATAAATACAGAAATAAATATGTTCCAGTGTTTTCAGAGAGCTGTAGTGTGTGTGCTGTGGCTCAGCTGGAAAGCAGTTGACTCACGACCGCAGGGTCTCTGGTTCAACGACTGAACAATACGTATTTTTTGTTGTTTATAAAAGCTACAGCTAAATGAGACAATGTAGTTAATAAATGTATTCTTTGATATGGTTTAGCCTTTCTCAGGCTACAACATGGTTACGTTTACGAATATTATTAAGGAATACAAATCCCTCTTTGCAATGTTTACCAGCGTCCTTAGGCTTTTCAATCACAATCATTCAACTGGAATAACAACAATATTGTTAACATGAAAATATGATTTAATGTTCGTTGTTTAGAGTTATTCTAAGGCTTTACTCATTGGGAACTCGGTATGAGATAGAGCACACTGTTGAGATGTCCAATCTGCCTGTTGTACACACTTTCACCAACAGGGGGTTTGTGTTCAAATGAAGCCCATGATGAAGCCTCATGAGATGAACCCTTTTGCGAACCAATTGGCTGGAAAGCTTCAAAGCTTCATAAGGCTTCATCTCACCATCACTACTACATACCGATCAGGCCAAGTTCAGACAAACACACAGCAGGAGAGCTTCATTTACAGCGGCAGCAGACATGGGCTGCAGGATCCCTGCAAGGGTCTACAACCAGTGATACATTTAGTATTTAGGCTAATTGTCATGCTAGGTGTACAACAAACGGCAGCCACTGCAAACTCACCGGTGCCAGCGGATAAAGCACGTCAGCGGAACCCGGAAGTGGCCTTCGTGCCAAAGAGCAAGAGGGAGCAAGAGCGACACTGACCCCTCTTTATAAAGGTTGCCCCGTGTGGTGATAGGGCTGAACAGTCTATCCTGCTACACTATTGATCTCATAGAATCTGCATTGCTGCTGATTAAACAAACAAAGAGTTTATAAAGGAGTTTAAATAATCTACAAAATGAAACTTGAGCATTCATGCAGCAGTAATACTATTCCACAAACAAATATATATAATATGGAACAATACACAGTTAACACTAGAGTACCCAAAACAACAACAAGTAAGGTTTTGAATGCAGGATGTTTTTAGATTTATTTTCACTTTGTGGTTTTATTACTTTTTCTTCAATAACTTTATTTTCCTTGTTTTTAGCTGCATGTCTATTTATATCGTTCCTATACGTGTTTTTGTAACCGTCTTACTGTGAGAGCAATAGAACATAATCCCTGTTGTACCTGTCCATGTGATGAAGCTGGTTATGAAACAAAGGGAGGAGCTACAGACAGGGAAGGATGTTGAAAGTGAAAGAAGGAAGTCAAACTGCCAGACTCCATTTTACACTTCGGCAGAGCAGCAGGAGGAAAACAGAGTGAGTTTTAACAACAGACTGCTTTTTAACACTTTAATCATTTACTCAGTTGAACTGTATGTCAGAAAATAATCTGTAAATACAAATATATTTATTTCCTGGAGTTGAAAGTGACATCTTCAAATGTTGTGAACTTTTTTATCCATTTCCTGGTTTCTAAATCAGAGTTTCATAACATGTAACAGCCAAGCGCAGTCACATGGAGAGCAGCCTGTCTGAAGTCTGACTGATTTGATGTATTGAAACCAAGTTTATCATTATGATGGTTTAGATTGACATCATGTTATTATTATAATGTGTGTGTGTGTGTGTGTGTGTGTGTGTGTGTGTGTGTATGTGTGTGTATGTGTGTGTGTGTGTGTGTGTGTGTGTGTGTGTGTGTGTGTGTGTGTGTGTGTGTGTGTGTGTGTGTGTGTGTGTGTGTGTGTGTGTGTGTGTGTGTGTGTGTGTGTGTGTGTGTGTGTGTGTGTGTGTGTGTGTGTGTGTGTGTGTGTGTGTGTGTGTGTGTGTGTGTGTGTGTGTGTGTGTGTGTGTGTGTGTGTGTGTGTGTGTGTGTGTGTGTGTGTGTGTGTGTGTGTGTGTGTAGTGTTACTGGTTTTTCTCTCAGACTGGAGAAGATGAGTGATTTCAAAGTTGAGGAAGAGGACAAATCTCAATTCCTCAGCGGTCTGTGCGGGAGTGAGCAGTCTGAAGAGGAACCTCCAGACTTCAGAGATGAACCCGGACCCTCAGACACAAAGTAAGAGTCTGTTTCTACTGTGACCTGAAGAGGATTCAGTTTTTATATTATCTGATCATCTAAACGGTTCTTTTATAATTACATGAGGGCAGTAGAGTACAGACACTCTGTAGATATAGTATAATGATAGTAATAACCAGGTGAGCTGGTTGTATTTATCATTAGACGATTTATTTTGTGCGGTGCGATAAACTGTAGGGTCAATGCGCATAAATGTGCCTGGCAACACAAATCAAAAGAAGATGTGAAATGTATATCCCCCCCGTGTATTCACACAACTTGTAAAGTTGCAACTTGAGAGTGAAGTTTGTGACGCTCTGTTACAAAAACCTGTCAGTGTTGAGCTTCTGCTCCTGTGGTCACTGACATGCTGAGATGAATCAGAAGAGGGAACATCAGCACCCAGAGCTCTACAGCACCTCATGTTAAATCAGGGTTCTTCATGTACCTGTATATAAACCAGAGACTGTCTGTGGTGCTAACAATATAATAGCTGCTGTTCTTATGACTGGATGTCATTTAGACACAGCAGCTACAACGTTAGCCTAGCTTTAATCGATTTCCATTCAGAAAACTAACATTTAAAGTGTTTTGCTTGTTGTGTTGCAGACAGACCTGACAAAGCATTAACTCAGGCTTTTAACAAATCACTATCATTACATTGTTATTTCGGCATCCTTTCCATATCTTTAAAGACATTAATTCACAGCAAATTATATGTAAATTGGGTTCATAGTGCTAAAGTGTACCAGATTAATACAGCTGATGTTATGAACCCAGACACAAAGCTGTGTGGTTCCCTGATTATATGAATAACTAACCACTATCTACCTTATCATGATGAAATAGCATCTATACAGACTTTTAAAAAAAAAATCAAACTAGAATTTGCCACCTTGTACCTTTGGTGAGAATCAGCTCCACTAATGTAAAGTGTTATAAAGGATGTGTTCATCTCCATAGAGGGAAGAGGAAGAGTCCTGTTCCTGTGGAGGAGCAGCTGTCCAGCTGTGCTCTGTGTCAGGACGTCCTGAAGGATCCAGTCTCTACCAGCTGTGGACACTGGTTCTGCAGACAGTGCATCACCTCATACTGGGAGCAGAGACCTCCATCAGGAGACTCCTGCTGTCCTCAGTGTGGAGAAAGATGGAACATTCTACAAAGTAAGAAGCCGAACACATTCAAGGTTCAAGGTTCAAGGCTTTTATTTGTCATACGAACATAGCTACAGTATAGTTATGACGATGAAAATCATAGGTCACAGGCTCCTCCAACAGAGCAACACAATAAAACAGAAAAACAGAAAAAAATAGTGCAAGTAAATACAAAAAGAAAAATGTGAAATAGTTCAATTAGAGTCTACATACAAGTCATTGGAATATGATATATTAGATAAATAATTAGCAACCAGCTTAATGTTATGGATGTTGTTTCAAAGTTCAGGTGTTTAACAGTCTTATGGCCTGTGGGATGAAACTGACCCTGAGTCTGGTGGTTTTAGTCCGGATGCTGCGGTACCGTCTGCCAGACGGCAGCAGACAGAACAGTTTGTGGCTGGGGTGATGGGGGTCTTTGATAATCCTGAGGGCTTTCTTCCTGAGCCGCTGGGAGTAAAGGTCCTCCATTGATGGCAGCTCCTTCCTGGTGATGTGCTGTGCAGTTGGCCGATAACGGTCGTGTCGTCAGCAAACTTCACGATGGTGTTGGAGCTGTGTGTGGCCACACAGTTGTGAGTGAACAGGGAGTAGAGCAGAGGGCTGAGCACGCAGCCTTGAGGGGCTCCGGTGTTGAGGATCAGGGTGGAGGATGTGATGTTTCCCACCCGCACTGCCTGGGGTCTGCCCGTCAGGAAGGTCAGGAAGTTCAGGATCCAGTCACAGAGGGCGCTGTTGAGCCCGAGGTCTCTGAGCTTGATGGCCAGCTTGGAGGGCACAATGGTGTTGAAAGCTGAACTGTAATCAATGAACAGCATTCTCACAAGTGTTCCTCTGGTCCAGGTGTGAGAGGGCAGTGTGGATGGTGAGGGCTATGACGTCATCTGTGGACCTGTTTGCTCTGTAGGCAAACTGCAGGGGGTCCAGAGAGTCAAGGAGGGAGGAGGTGAAGAAGGGTTTGACTAACCGCTCAAAGCACTTCATTATGATGGAGTGCTACTGGGCGGTAGTTGTTGAGGCTGGTGATTATTGTCTTTTTGGGACAGGAACGATGGTGGAGTGTTTGAAGCATGTGGGGACTACAGACTGCAGCAGGGACCTGTTGAACACCTCTGCCAGCTGAACTGCACACACCCTGAGATCACGGCCAGGGATGCCATCAGGTCCAGGAGCCTGTGTGGATTAACCCTTTTAAAGGATTTACACACATCCGCCCTTTTTAAAACAAAATGGCAGGGCTCCCGGTCCTTCTGTGCCTCCACAGCCTGACTGCTCTCGAATTGAGCACAAAAGCTGTTCAGCTCATCTGGGAGAGATGCGCACGCAGACACTCCCTTAACACCCCCTGCTGCTCCTTTGTAGTCTGTCATTGTTCTTAGTCCCGCCCACAAGTTCCGGGTGTTACAGCCTTTGAAGTCAGACTCCATTTTGTCTCTGTATTGTCTCTTTGCACTGCTGATTGCTCTCCGGAGTTCATACCTTGATTTCCTGAACTCATCTGAATCTCCACCTCTAAACGCGATAGTGCGCGCTTTCAGCTTGGTACTGTTGGAGCAATGAGTGGTCTGAAACCCACCTCGGCTCCGCGCGTCCTTTGATGAGCTGGTCAAATTATAAAAGAAGGAATTCAAAGCACCAGGATAAAGATTAAACAATAATCTGTTTTAATGGTAAACAACAACAATACACTTTAAAGGGGCACCCCTGCTATGTCCCCAGTACACTTTAAAGGGGCACCCCTGCTCTGTCCCCAGTACACTTTAAAGGGGCACCCCTGCTCTGTCCCCAGTACACTTTAAAGGGGTACCCCTGCTCTGTCCCCAGTACACTTTAAAGGGGCACCCCTGCTCTGTCCCCAGTACACTTTAAAGGGGCACCCCTGCTCTGTCCCCAGTACACTTTAAAGGGGTACCCCTGCTCTGTCCCCAGTACACTTTAAAGGGGCACCCCTGCTCTGTCCCCAGTACACTTTAAAGGGGTACCCCTGCTCTGTCCCCAGTACACTTTAAAGGGGCACCCCTGCTCTGTCCCCAGTACACTTTAAAGGGGTACCCCTGCTCTGTTCCCAGTGCTGGGAGATCTTACTATCTTGGCAGCAGGAGGAAAAGAGACCGGACACAAGGACACAACAGGGCTTCATGTAGTTAGAAAGGGAGGGGTTGTGTAGGATGCTCCTCCCATATAGGTCATCCATTGGGCGATACAAAAACGATGGCCGGTCGCAACGAATCAGCGCGAGCCAGCCGAGGCGACCCGGAAGCAAGAGTCTCTTACGTTTGAGACAAAACAAACACATCTGGTGTTCGTTGTCTCGCATTCTTGCAGCCTGCACACACACGCACACATTTTCTGCATAGACTTCCCTCTCTCCGGCCCCCTCCCCCATCAGTTCAATACACACAGCTCCACACACCCTTGGCATTTTTAAGATATGTCTAAGATATAGTTGTTTATCGTTGACTAATACAAGTAATACATGTACGTTACTTTAATATCAATAATAACGAGGAAAACATTACCTCTGCTCCCAAGCAATCCTACAGATTAAACAATAATCTGTTTTAATGGTAAACAACAACAATACACTTTAAAGGGGCACCCCTGCTCTGTCCCCAGTACACTTTAAAGGGGTACCCCTGCTCTGTCCCCAGTACACTTTGAAGGGGCACCCCTGCTCTGTCCCCAGTAGACTTTAAAGGGGTACCCCTGCTCTGTCCCCAGTACACTTTAAAGGGGCATCCCTGCTCTGTCCCCAGTACACTTTAAAGGGGCACCCCTGCTCTGTCCCCAGTACACTTTGAAGGGGCACCCCTGCTCTGTCCCCAGTAGACTTTAAAGGGGTACCCCTGCTCTGTCCCCAGTACACTTTAAAGGGGCACCCCTGCTCTGTTCCCAGTACACTTTAAAGGGGCACCCCTGCTCTGTCCCCAGTACACTTTAAAGGGGCACCCCTGCTCTGTCCCCAGTACACTTTAAAGGGGCACCCCTGCTCTGTCCCCAGTACACTTTAAAGGAGCACCCCTGCTCTGTCCCCAGTACACTTTAAAGGGGTACCCCTGCTCTGTTCCCAGTGCTGGGAGATCTTACTATCTTGGCAGCAGGAGGAAAAGAGACCGGACACAAGGACACAACAGGGCTTCATGTAGTTAGAAAGGGAGGAGTTGTGTGCGGATGCTCCTCCCATATAGGTCATCCATTGGGCGATACAAAAACGATGGCTGGTCGCAACGAATCAGTGCGAGCCAGCCGAGGCGACCCGGAAACAAGAGTCTCTTACGTTTGAGGCAAAACAAACACATCTGGTGTTCGTTGTCTCGCATTCTTGCAGCCTGCACACGCACACACATTTTCTGCATAGACTTCCCTCTCTCCGGCCCCCTCCCCCATCAGTTCAATACACACAGCTCCACACACCCTTGGCATTTTTAAGATATGTCTAAGATATAGTTGTTTATCGTTGACTAATACAAGTAATATATGTACGTTACTTTAATATCAATAATAACGAGGAAAACATTACCTCTGCTCCCAAGCAATCCTACAGCAATGTGAGAAATAGTAGACCTTTACAGCATGTTTAACGCACACTCATTTCACCATGCACACCATGCAGCCCACCAGATGTTTGACATGCTGTGTCCAAATAAGGATATCTCATCTCTCACATCTCCACTACTCTTAATACAAATGTTTCACTTCTCATATTTCCTGCTTCTTGTTATACAGACTGCTATTATTTAATACAAAGTAATTAAGTACACACATATGTTTAAGCAAACTCATATCTGGATACTAGGAACACAGGTTACTTCAGTACGCACCTCGCTGTTTATCCAGGGCTTTTGATTCGGGAATGTTTGTACAGTAAACTTCAGTACCACGTCATCGATGCATTTCCCAATGTAGCAAATGTGTGTGTTGATTAGGGTTGCAAAATTCCGGGAATTTTCAAAGATGGAAACTTTCCACGGGAATAAACGGAAATTTATGGGAATAAACCGGGAATTTTCCAAATTGAAGGTTGGATCTTCATAGGGAACTTAAACATAGTTGGGGAAAGTATATTTTAGCATAATCTTGACTAAAACAAACCGATGCCATTCAAGTACACTTGAAAATCCATGGCATAGCACACGGCTTACTGCATGGCTATTGAGACCACACAAAGGTTCCCAACAGGCTCACAAATGTGAGGGTGGAAACACTGGTTGGCATCCGGGCAATCCTAATGCTCTCTTACCACATTCACACCAACGCAACTCCAGTTCAAGCTCCGTGCTTTTCAGGTTCAGAACCAGTTCTTCGGTTTAGCTCTGGCTCTTTTCACACCGCCCAGAGTCCGACTGGTAATGCGTCGTTGCGTCATCGTTTGCGTCATGACGTAACCGTTTACGTGCCTACTTCATAAAGCCAAACCGCGCGGATGAAATCAGGTGCATTAATTTCTTATGGCTCTATCTGCAGCTTTTCCGGAGTCATTTCTGTGGTTTAGTTATATTCTTATAAAAAAGTGTACTTGTGTCAATAAAGGTTTTTTTAAAACACAACTGCTTCCGAGGTCGGTCTTATTTCTTAAGGTGGACTGAACCATGAGTGTGGAGTAACGTTGTATCTTTCATTTAAATGAACAGTAACCTTCACCCAGGTATGTAACAGCTGTTCTCAAATGAACACATGAAGTAAAGTTTAATATTTATAGTTTTATAGATTTATAATGAGTTATAATGAGAGGTGATCAACGTGAATGCTCAGGTTCCACCTTAACACGCAGACACGTTGCTTTACCATGAGCAGAAACCTTTATATATACAGTCTATGGCAGAAACACTGAAACTCTTGTTAAGTTTCTCCATCGTTGTGTACAAACTCAATAAAACGCGGGCTTTTTGTTGTTGTTCAGGAGTTTATCTGTCTCTGCCCCCCGCCTCAACGTAAGCGTGACGTATGCGGTGCTTTTGCTCTGGCCGGACAATTTTTTGGTGCTTGAAACGAACCGGATTCCGGAGCTAACAGGCTGCTCCGCTGCGGTGTGAAGAAGAAAACCCGGTGCTTTTCAAGCTCCAGCTCCGAACCGGCCCTGAAACACCGTTGGTGTGAATGAGGTATCTGAGCTGGACACAGAGCCATCCTCAACCAGGCTAGACAGTGGCACTGCAGAGGAAGACTCAGAGTGTGATGTTGATGAGGCCCAGGAAGAGCCCGTTGACTGAAAGGCTTTAGCAAAAATGCAGAGGATTGCTTGAAGGAAGATTTGCATGTTTAATGGGACTTTTTGGAGGGAGAAGGGCTCTTTCCATTTAACATTTTGAATGGGACTTTGTGGGGATTTTTGGATGGGATGTGGGTTAACATTTTTATTTATTTTTTAAATCTGTTGAAATGTCATGTTTTTTTGTTTAATTTTGCATTGAATATTTCCAAAATTCCCCAGCTTAACTTCCCATGGAAACTTTCCAGATATTTACCGGAAACTTTCCGCCCCTTTGCAACCCTAGTGTTGATATTCAACCATATCTGATGACTTTTGGAAGGAGGCCCTGAGAGCTGTTAGCTCATCCTCCAGTTGCGCTAGACTCAGCCTAATACAGATTATCCTTAGACTACATTATAGCAAGGCTAAGCTCTCCAGGATTTATCCAGATAGATTAGATGACAGGTGTGATAGATGCTCCCAGGCCCCCTGCGACCTGACTCACATGTTCTGGTCGTGCCCTAAATTATCTAGCTTCTGGCAATCTTTCTTCGAATGTATTTCTGAAATTGTAGGTCTAAAAATCTCTCCATCCCCTCATGTAGCTATTTTCGGTCGGCCCCCAGATGAAATCAACATTACAAACACTCAAACCAATGTCATTGCCTTTACCGCCTTGATTGCTCGTAGGAAAATCCTTCTTTTGTGGAAATCTCCTTACCTCCCTCTTTTAAAATGTGGCTGAGTGATACGTTAAGGGAAAGTGAGTAAGGGTTCTTTTTGGGGGAAAACATGAAAATGCCTTAATTGCTGTAATGCACTGTTTCACTTTTTTTCCATGTGAATAAAAATATTTAGAAAAAAAAAAATCATGACATTTAAAACCCTGACTGTTTTTTTATTTTATTTTCATCATCAGATTCTCAAAAGCATTTTCCTGATTCTCTCATGTTTCCTTCTCTTCCAGCAGAACGTGGTCTGCAGGAGGTTCTAGATGAACATAGGCTCAGTCTGAGGAGGAGATGTGAACGTGTGACTGAAGGAACTGATGAAAGTGAAACCCTCCTCAACAGGATCTTCACTGAGCTCTACATCACACAAGGCCAGAGTGAAGAGGTTAATACCCAGCATGAGGTGAGGCAGCTGGAGACAGCTTCCAAGAAGAAGCCCCTCCATGACACTCCAATCAAGTGCCAGGACATCTTTCAAGCCTCACCTGACCAACAGACTCCCATCAGAGCGGTCCTGACCAACGGAGTCGCTGGAGTTGGAAAAAGCTTCTCAGTGCAGAAGTTCACTCTGGACTGGGCCGAGGGTTTGGGAAACCAAGATGTCAGTCTGGTGATCCCGCTCTCCTTCAGGGAGCTGAACCTGATCAAAGGTGAGCAGTACAGTCTTCTCAGGCTGCTCCATGTTTTCCATCCAACCTTACAGAAGGTCACAGCAGAGCAGCTGGCTGTCTGCAAAGTGCTGTTCATCTTTGACGGCCTGGATGAAAGCAGACTTTCTCTGGACTTCACAAACAATGAGGTTGTGTCTGATGTCTCACAGCAGTCCTCAGTCAACGTGCTGCTGACAAACCTCATCAGGGGGAAGCTGCTTTCCTCGGCTCTCGTCTGGATAACTTCCAGACCTGCAGCGGCCAATCAGATCCCTCCTGAGTGTGTGGACAGGGTGACAGAAGTACGAGGCTTCACTGACGCCCAGAAGGAGGAGTACTTCAGGAGGAGATGGAGTGATGAAGACCTGTCCAGCAGAATCATCTCTCACATCAAGAGCTCCAGGAGCCTCCACATCATGTGTCTGATCCCAGTCTTCTGCTGGATCACTGCTGCAGTTCTGGACCACATGTTGACTACAGACCAGAGAGGACAGCTGCCCAAGACCCTCACTGACATGTACGCACACTTCCTGCTGGTCCAGACCAAGAGGAAGAAGCAGAAGTATGAAGAGGGACATGAGACGAGTCCACAGCAGCTGACGGAGGCTGACAGGGAGCTTCTTCTGAAGCTGGGGAGGCTGGCGTTTGAACATCTGGAGAAAGGAGACATCATGTTCTACCAAGAAGACCTGCAGCGCTGTGGTCTTGGTGTCACCGAGGCCTTGGTGCACTCAGGAGTTTGTACAGAGATCTTCAAAAGAGAGAGTGTGATCTTCCAGAAAACAGTCTACTGCTTTGTTCATCTGAGCATTCAGGAGTTCCTGGCTGCAGTCTACATGTTGCACTGTTACACCAACAGAGACACAGAGGTACTGAAGGACTTCCTGCAGGGATACTATAGCAACAGGTATAACAGAGATCAGGATTACCCATCCCTGGATGTCTTCCTGGAGGGAGCCATGGAGAAATCCCTCCAAAGTAAAAATGGCCACCTGGACCTGTTTGTCCGCTTCCTCCACGGCCTCTCTCTGGAGTCCAACCAGAGACTGTTAGGAGGCCTGCTGGGTCGCACAGGCAAGCGTCCAACAATCATCGAGAGACTCTTCAGAGGCCGGCTGGGTCGCACAGACAACAGACCAGAAACCATCCAGAGAGCCATCAGCAACCTAAAGGAGATGAGCAGTTATAACATCTCTCCTGAGAGGAGCATCAACATCTTCCACTGTCTGACAGAGATGAAGGACCACTCAGTAACTCAGGAGATCACAGAGTTCCTGAAGTCAGGGAACAGATCAGAGGAACTCTCTGAGATCCACTGCTCTGCTCTGGCCTACATGCTGCAGATGTCAGAGGAGGTTCTGGATGAGTTGGACCTGAGGAAGTACAACACATCAGATGAGGGACGACGGAGACTGATTCCAGCTGTGAGGAACTGCAGGAAGGCCGAGTAAGTCCAGATGTGATTAACTTTATTAATTAATCTGGATCAGAAGTTTCATTATTATAATAAACACTTTAAAATGTTTGATGTTTTAAATACTTTGAGAGTGAAATTAAATTATCCTAGTTATTCTATTTATTTATAATAATGTGACATTTTAAAGTTTTCTCCTCTTCATATTCCTTTGAGTGAAGGAGGTGTCAAACAAATGAAGGACTTTTTCCTCACAGCAGCATGTGATCACACCATACAGCAGTGTTTACAGTTATCAGTCAATTAAGTTATTAATATATCATTGCAGTTTCTTCAACATTAAATCAGATCTGTTTTTACCACAATGCTTAAGAGTTTAAAATAAGTCTGACAGGCTGACAATAAATATAGAAAACTCTATTATTAAATCAAATGACATGACAAAAGTTGTTCCATCAAATTCAGTAAGTTAATGAAATGTTTCCTCTGTTTTTAAACTAACACATGTTGTAATATATGTGTTATTATAGACTTACTGACTGTAGACTCTCAGAGACTGACTGTGAAGTCGTGGCCTCAGCTCTGAAGTCTAACCCCTCCCACCTGAGAGATCTGGACCTGAGTCGGAACGCTCTGGAGGATTCAGGAGTGGAGCTGCTGAGTTCTGGACTGAAGAGTCCAATCTGCAGACTGGAGGCTCTGAGGTCAGTTCACTGACTGCAGTTCATACTGATCTGTGAGGGAGAGAGGTTGAGCTTCCACAGACTCACCCTGTGCTCCATGAGTCAGTGGAGATGCTGTCAGTACTGATGAGCTGTGAGGGAGATGAAGGAGTTGTTAAACATCTGATCAAAGTTAGAGTTCCAGATTATCAGTGGATTGTTTCTACATCATCTCTGACATTAAAACCCTGTTCAGCTCACTACTTTGTCATTGAAGTAGAAATACGTTGTGTTTAACATTAATCAGAGCTCTTTCTTTCCTCTTTCTGTATCTTACAGTTTTTAACCTGTTTAGAGATTCCACTTTCTGAACTTCGTCAGCTCTGATCAGGTTATTAAAGATCTCCTACCATGTTATTTTTAGGCAGATATAATGGGTCTCAGATATATACAAATATATTAAAAACATGTCTAAGATGTGCTCAAAAATACCAAACAGATTATACATTTTAGACATCCCTCATATCCCTCTATTTCAGCTGCTAGAGAAGGGCTGATTCTGTAGCTGCTGGCCCGCCCCCTGTTGAGCACGGCAAGGCAAGCAGTGAGTTCTGTGATGAGCAGGCTGGCTGCTCTGCTCAGATGCAGCTAAATGCTGCCGTGATTTAACGCCATATCATGTTCCAAACCACTTCTCCCTCATCCAAGGCGCCGCGCAGAGTGGCAGCCTGTTACGGTGTTACCGTTTAACTGGTGGCGCGGGGAACTCGTGATATTCTATAACGGTAGGAATGTGTCAGGGGCGTGTACTTTGAGGAGCCTTTGTCGAATAACCAGGAAATACACATTTCGATCGCTTCTTCTGTCGTTTACATTCATCTGTTGGTATATTTGGCTCCATAGGAACACTTTGATGCACTTTCAGTACCAGTGTGTGAGGTTGTGGTTGCGATGCCGATATCCGGACGCATACAGTGAGGACTAGAAAAAGACACACGAGGTGACTGGGATGTCTGTTCAAAACATTGCACGCTTGAATAAATCATTTAAACCAGTTATTGTTGCCAGACTTATTACTGAATATCGTTCCTAATGTGATACCAAGTCCATCTGAGACCTGTGTACACCTTCAGACAGCCTCCAAGTGAAGCACACGGTGTTTACTCACAGTTTGAAAGCAGCGTGGAGAAGTCTTCAGCTGTGGAGCTGTGATCCGCCCAGGATAAACTGTGACACGACTTCTGTTCTGTGGCTATCTCTACCAGCGATCATGTTTAATATTAAAGACTACACACATGTATCCCTTATCAAAACGGTATTCTGCACTTTGCAGCACTTATCCAGATAAGATGTGACTGTTTACTCGCTGCAGGAGTGTAAAGGCCCTGACACACCAAACTGACGGAAATGTGTAATCGTCATTCAAAAGAGGCAACCGGAACGGCCCGTCCACACGGCGGCGTGCGTTGAAAGCTTCACCATTCACTTTGAATGGGGTGACGTCACTTTCCGCCAAACTGCATTGTGGGAAGCAAAGCAGAGCTTTGCTGGCGTGGCTCGCTGCAAAAGTTGAGCAATGTGCAACTTTTGAAGCCTCGGCAGAACGTCAGCCAATCGAATCGTATGCCAGAACAAGCTCTAGCCAATCAAACCGCTGCTTGTGTGTCAGGGGCGGGAGATTCATGTGATTGGTTGTTGGTCGAGTTTCAGACGTGATGTGTACAAACATCAGCTCTCTGATGCAGAAATAAACGATGTAAGCATTGTGGCTGGCAGCCTTGAAGTACTGCTGCTACCACATTCCATGCATCAGTAATTATAACCCAAGATGATATTAATATTCAACATCATAACACTGACGGGCAAATGATGACATTGTTACAAATGAGTGAACTGTCTGTTGAGGTTTCATTTTCCAGGGTCCTGTCCGGTACATACTTGAAGAAGCTATTGTCACCTCATGCAGGAAGTGTGGCAGCAAATTACGTGGCAACTGAGTTGGTCTTCAGTTTCTTCATTCCAGATCGCCATGATGTAAAATAAATGTTTCTGCTGCAGGGATGTTACATTAATGTATAAATAATAATAACAACATGTAACCATGTACTAGTTTCAGAAAGGCTAAACAACAACAAACTACAACAAGTGTAGTTCACTGACTGGCAGAGCACTGATGATCTTTGGATTAAAATAACAAGAACAACCCTACACTGCATGATTCACTCTGAACCTCTGAACACCTGAGATTCATCTTATATTCTCCATCCTGCTTTTAGAAAATGAATTATAAAAAAATACATGAGTAGAATTGTTTTATATTTCTGTTAAAACTATCAACCACCAAGAAGTATTTTCAGTTGTTGCTGTTTCCAACGTGTTCCTGGATCTACATGATGCTGACACTGACTGAATAGTTTACACTGAAGTAGCTGCACGTTGTCTTTAATGTGAATGAGAGCTCTTTTCCTCTTTCTGTGTCTCACAGTTTTTAACCTGTTGGAGTTTCCACTTTCTGAACTCCTTCAGCTCTGATCAGATTATTAAACCTGGAGTTATTTCAAGCAGGAACATTGTTTTCTAAAGTTACATCATGTTTTCTTTATTCAGACTGAGGACCTGCAGGTTGTCAGAGATCAGCTGTTCTGCTCTGATCTCTGCTCTGAAGTCCAACCTCCACCTGAGAGATCTGGACCTGAGTTACAACGCTCTGCAGGATTCAGGAGTGGAGCTGCTGAGAGATCTTCTGGAGAGTCCAGACTGCAGACTGGAGACTCTCAGGTCAGTTCTCCATCTGTAACTTCTGTGCTGAGATGAAGAGAGTTGTGTTGACTCTGAGCTGCAGACATCAGGCTGATATCACTCTGATCCTCACTGAGCATCTTAACCCTCTAAAGCAGGGGTGGGGAACCTCCGGCCCCCGGGCCGTATACGGCCCGCGAGACCTTCGCTACGGCCCTCGAGGTAATTTATAAAAAAAGAAAAAAATTAAAGAAATCTAGACCGCAAAAAAATTAAACAAGTGAGTGCCTGTTTTTCCTGGCCAAGGTCAGGGTCCTCGAACACATCACGAGCCTAATGTGTCATCACGTGGTATGTCTCGTCTGACAGGGTGCAGTTCTGACGGAGAGCACCAGAACGCGGCTCCGCTCCGGCACTTCCACAAATTGCAGTACCCATAAGGAGCCGTACACATGCCTCAGTTTCTACGTGGCTGTGTCTTTAGTTGAAAGCCCATCTGCTCATCTGTCATACTGATCATACAGTCAATAACTGTGTTGTTATTAGCATCTGGTTAGCTAGCTATGCTAACGAATATAAGAAGCTTTTTCTACAACCAGTGAGGTAAAGGCACATCTTTATATGATCATTATAGTTATACAAAAATAAGAGAATAAAGTAAACAGGTATAAAATACTATATGACAGTAAAAAAAAGTTATTATTAATAAACAACAATACAGATTGAAAGGAGAGTGATTTGTAAAATATCCATAAAGAAAAATAAATATGCTTACAGTTCTGTTTCATCTGGGTGTTGAGAGATGTATCCATAGATCTCTCAACACAGATCTGGGGACGGGTGGCGCAGTGGTCTGTGCGTTTGATCATCAGATCAAGGGGGGCGTTGGGGAACTCCAGTTCGAAACCCGCTCCCGCCCCACTGCGTCAGGCCGTTGTGTCCTTGGGCAAGACACTTCACCCGAATTTGCTCCTGTGGGTATTGTCCACAGTATCTGACCATTACATGTATGATCTGTATGTGTAATGTGTATTTGTAAAGCGCTTTGAGAGTCTTTGATAAAGCGCTATAATAAATATAAGGATTATTATTATTATCTCCTAATTGTGATTTCAAAGTGCACCAGATTGATGCTTTTAACATCAATATTTAAAAGAAAATCTTCCCGGGGGAGAACACCCCCTAGAGGAGGTTAGGCCCCCCCCCCCCACCTAAATCATGTTCACATGGATAGGAAAGTAAACACATTGAAACACATCTTGTGTCCATATCTTTCTGTTCTGGAGGTCATGCCACACCGTGCACGTGCGTGCGCGAGTCATGGTGAGATATCTGGATTGAGAGGTTGCTTTTTCTTTGCACAGCATGAAAGAAAGGCCAAGGCTGTGATTTTAGTATTTTTAAGCAGAGGTCAATAATTTGTACGGCCCTCAGAGGATGTTGAAAACATTGAAATGGCCCTTGAGAGGAAAAAGGTTCTCCACCCTTGATCTACAGTCTCAGCCCTTTGTTCATATGGTTGGTGTCCTGCTCTGCTTCAGTTAGAATGCTTGTAAAGCCTCAGCCCTGCACTCATGTTATAAACATCTTTCCTTTGAAGACAAACTAAGCTGTCAGGATGTTTCTGCTGCAGGGATGTGACATTAATGTATAACTAATAACAACAACAACAACAACAACAACAACAACAACATGTGACCATGTACTAGCCTCAGAAAGGCTAAACAACAACAACAACAACATGTGACCATGTACTAGCCTCAGAAAGGCTAAACAACAACAAACTACACCAAGTGTAGTTCACTGACTGGCAGAGCACTGATGATCTTTAGATTAAAATATCAAGAACAACCCTACACTGCATGATTCACTCTGAACCTCTGAACACCTGAGATTCATCTTATATTCTTCATCCTGCTTTTAGAAAATGAATTATAAAGAAAATACATGAGTAGAATTGTTTTATATTTCTGTTAAAACTATCAACCACCAAGAAGTATTTTCAGTTGTTGCTGTTTCCAACGTGTTCCTGGATCTACATGATGCTGACACTGACAGAATAGTTTACACTGAAGTAGCTGCACGTTGTCTTTAATGTGAATGAGAGCTCTTTCCCTCTTTCTGTGTCTCACAGTTTTTAACCTGTTGGAGTTTCCACTTTCTGAACTCCTTCAGCTCTGATCAGATTATTAAACCTGGAGTTATTTCAAACAGGAACATTGTTTTCTAAAGTTACATCATGTTCTCTTTGTTCAGACTGGAGCTCTGCAGTTTGTCAGAGATCAGCTGTTCTGCTCTGATCTCTGCTCTGAAGTCCAACCTCCATCTGAGACATCTGGACCTGAGTTACAATAATCTGAAGGATTCAGGAGTGAAGCTGAGAGATCTTCTGGAGAGTCCAGACTGCAGACTGGAGACTCTCAGGTCAGTTCTCCATCTGTAACTTCTGTGCTGAGATGAAGAGAGTTGTGTTGACTCTGAGCTGCAGACATCAGGCTGATATCACTCTGATCCTCACTGAGCATCTTAACCAGGGGCGGACTGGCCATTAGGGCTGTGCATCTTCACTGGTCTCTCGATTCGATTACGATTATCCTGTCAACGATTCGATTCAATTCGATATCCCGATGCATCACGATTCATACCAATGCGTTGCATCCTCAATTTTCTATATTACTGCACATGGCTTATTTTTCATCAATGCATACATGCAGTAAATACATATGAACTCTCTTTTCATTATTTAGAAAGTGCTTCAGAAATCAATAACATAAATGTCTTGACATTCATTTATAAACCATAATAAATGAATTGTATAGGCCTAGCCTCCCTATATCTGTGTGTGAAGTTGTTCCATCCTCAAAAACAAAAACATAATGCTTCTGCAGTCTAGCTGCAGCTTCTAGCAACAGTCTTCTGTTAAAGAAAGGACACTGAATGTCCTGAATGTGGCATCACACACAGGACTTGAGTCTGAACACAGCAGACAACAGGAGTATTTACAACAGCATATAACAACTAAAATAGTGCATGTGGGTGCACACTTACATTCTCTGTCTTACTGTTACATGAATCCCATGAATGTATGAGATTAAATTAGCTTCATTATATCTCAGTGATTAAGTGAATAATAAAGTTTCTATCGGGTCACTATCAGCCTGTCACTCATTATTTTCAGGGAGGGGGCGGGGCTTGGAGAAACGGAGAGAAGACGGTGATCGCGGAAGCTTTTTTCCTCCTGCCTTCACAAACTTTACACACGTATATATCGTCTGAAAATTGCTAGAGGACATTCATACTCTGCAATCCAAGACTTCATTAAATCCACCAAAAACCTGACATGATTGTAACGCGATTATTTTTGAAAAACATAAATCCCTGTGCCGCAGCGACACGGAGTGATTCAGAGCGGGTCCTTCTGCTGTTGGTTCTGGACTGGTGTTCTTGTGTTGGTGGATAAAGCAGACTGCTCCGTGTTTGGTGTTGCTGTGCCGCTGTCACGCCTGTTCCCTGATCTCTGCGTCACCGACCGATTTGATATTAAGTGACAGAAAAAATAAACGTTATAGTAAAGCCGCGGCCGGAAAATCAGGAAGCAACGTTACTACGCTATAACCGATTATCTTCCGTCACTGCATCGAGACCGAATCGTCCACGTCCGCATCGCAATGCATCGTAGAAACGATTATTTTCAACACCCCTACTGGCCATCGGGACGTTCGGGACGAATCCCGATGGGCCGGTACTGAAGTGGGCCGGTCGGACGATGTGGGCCGGCAGGCAACCGGTATTTTTGACAAGCAATTTAGTTAAATTGTTTTGTTTATTAACGCTACAACATAGTGTTTCGTGAGGCGGTTGTCGTTGTTGGGTGAAAGCAAACAGCTGTTTGCTGCGTAGCGCAGCGCGAGCAGGCTCCCGCTTATGGGCTCAGAACAGTCTCATAATACACACATGCACACTTGTGTTTTTCAATGCACACAAATGTGTTCCGTTTCATATTCATGTAAATAAAATACAAATACAGAAAAAAGTTTTACATGTGTATTTTTGATCCTCACATATTTGTTTCCCGTTTAAATCCTCTGCACCTGCAAACACAACCCGCTTTCTGTGCACGGGTCGCTGTGCATTCGTGTGTGGGTTTTTTGAGACTCCCCTGACGGTCAGCCGATTCGTACTTGTAATTTTTTCCATCTATAGCCAATCAGATGTCTAGGGTAGAATTATTGCGTTGATGACGTAGCGCTTCATGTTTACCCAGCTGCTCTGGCCCTGTCCTCCCTATTTCGCAAATGAGGGCCTATCGTATCGGCTCCTTGTCATGTCTGCCGATATCTGGTTTTCTTATGTCTGTTTGTTTTGATCTGTGTCTATGTTGTTGTCAGTGATGTATTGTATTAACTTTTTAAATGCCTCTGTGATGTGCTGCAACCCATTTTCCCCTCGGGGACTAATAAACAAATACTATACTACTATATATTGTAAGCTGAAAATGCAAAGCCACATTTAGTTAGTAAGAAACTTTCTAACAGACTTATAGGATTTTACAGAAGAGTGGAAAAGGTTCTCTGTTTTGTTTCCTGTCATGCTTTTAGTTTCTAGACTAACGAGCAGTTACTTCCTGTAATGCAGCTGAGAGCTGAGGCAGGCAGTCGTAGTGTTTGCAGAGAAGATATGATGGGATGTAAAGCAAGAGATCAGGACTCTGAAGCTGACTCAAAGAACAAACACTTATTTTAAACTGGATCTAAAACTGTTGGATTGTGTTCATCCCCACAGGATCAATGGAGAGACGTTCAGAGCCAAGATCCAGAAGACCTGTGAGTACTGAAACCATGTCCTCCATTCATCAAGACATTGTACATTAAACCTGATCTTCAAAGTTCTTTATAGCACAACAACAATATATTTTAGTTCCATTTTGTTACAGCTCTATTCAATCAATTTGGCTGCTAATGTTTCTCTTTGTTCAAGTTTCATTATTATCTTTCTGTGTCACCTCTTCTCTCCATCAGGTGACTCCGATGTGGAACAGGAAGTGAAGACAGACAGAGAGGTGAGAGAGGAGCAGTTGAACAGAGTGAAGTGTATTTATTTCCCCACTGAATTAAAATATAATTGTTAGGGCTGTCCAGTTAAACAATAGAGCGCTCGTAATTCATCTAGAAACCTTAATGAGTCAAAAGAAACAAGTTCGTACATTTTTATTTACCGGAGAAATAGGAGATATTGCTGTCGACTATTGTCTGAGTTTATCTTTCAACTTAAAAACAATTCATAATGAAGGCTCTATAAAGACTGACATCATAAAGACATGTCCATTTATGTATTCAAATTGTTGTTATTGAGAAATGCAAGCCTACATCACCGCTGAGCGATGTCAGGGATGAAGAGCAATTTGCACTGCAGCTGCTGAGCTGCTTACTAACGATGTGAGCAGGTACGAGAGAAGATATCAATCACTATCCCTGAATACAAGTCTGTTCTAAAATACTAACGTTTAGTTTAAACACAGATTATCAATGTGATTAAAGCGATCACATGTTTTAATTGATTGAGACTGCTTGTAGTTGTTGGTAATTGTTTGATGGCATCAAGACAATTCTTTGAGCTCAGATTGATTTATTTACCGTTTATTTAATGTGGGTGTGTTTGAGACGAGGAGCGTGGAGGCATTTCAGAACACCACTAACATGCAGCTGATGAGACACTTTCTAAAGCAGCTATCATCAATATTCAATTAACTGACTCAATAGCGTCAAGCTTTTTATTATGAACTTTGTTTATTGAGTGTCAAACACAAATGGACAGGAATGACAGAGCAGTTGGAATTGACAGTGTCACATTACAGTTGTGCAGATCATGACATACGATACATTACAACAACAAAACAAACAGTCGGCTTGGTCATTTAAGGTTTCAAGGGTTCAAGGTTTCAAGGGTTCAAGGGTTTAAGGGTTTTATGGTCATTTGTGCAGCAGCTACAGTGCAGTTGTGACAATGAAAATCTGAGGTCACAGGCTCCTCCAACAGAGCAACACAATAAACAGATACAATAATACAAGTAAATAGAATATAATAGAAACAGAATATGATAGAAACTGTGCAGAATATTCTAGATACAGTAATTGGAATGTTGGTATATATGATAAATGTGAGTTGCAAACAGATGAATGTTATTTATGTTGTTTCAAAGTTCAGGTGTTTAATAGTCTTATGGCCGGTGCGATGAAACTGTCCCAGAGTCTGGTGGTTTTAGTCCGGATGCTGCGGAACCGCCTGCCAGACGGCAGCAGACAGAACAGTGTGTGGCTGGGGGGCTGGGGGTCTTTGATAATCCTGAGGGCTTTCTTCCTGAGCCGCTGGGAGTAAAGGTCCTCCATGGATGGCAGCTCCTTCCTGGTGATGTTCTGTGCAGTTTTCACCAACCTCTGTAAAGCCTTACTATTGAGGGCGGTGCAGCTGCTGTACCAGGCCGTGATGCAGCCAGTCAGGATCCTCTCTATGGTGCACCTGTAGAAGGTCAGGATCCTCTCTATGGAGCACCTGTAGAAGGTCAGGATCCTCTCTATGGAGCACCTGTAGAAGGTCAGGATGCTCTCTATGGTGCACCTGTAGAAGGTCAGGATCCTCTCTATGGAGCACCTGTAGAAGGTCAGGGTCCTCTCTATGGTGCACCTGTAGAAGGTCAGGATGCTCTCTATGGTGCACCTGTAGAAGGTCAGGATCCTCTCTATCACCTGTAGAAGGTCAGGATGCTCTCTATGGTGCACCTGTAGAAGGTCAGGATGCTCTCTATGGTGCACCTGTAGAAGGTCAGGATCCTCTCTATGGTGCACCTGTAGAAGGTCAGGATGCTCTCTATGGTGCACCTGTAGAAGGTCAGGATCCTCTCTATGGAGCACCTGTAGAAGGTCAGGATCCTCTCTATGGTGCACCTGTAGAAGGTCAGGATGCTCTCTATGGTGCACCTGTAGAAGGTCAGGATCCTCTCTATGGTGCACCTGTAGAAGGTCAGGATGCTCTCTATGGAGCACCTGTAGAAGGTCAGGATGCTCTCTATGGAGCACCTGTAGAAGGTCAGGATGCTCTCTATGGTGCACCTGTAGAAGGTCAGGATGCTCTCTATGGAGCACCTGTAGGTCAAAGTGGCGTATAGCCTGTAGCCTACAACATCAACGGAGGTGCTCGATATGCTGTATTGAACCAACAAACTAACACAAACTAACTGTATCACTATAACATGATGATGATGGTGATGATGATGGTGATGATGATGATGATGATGATGGTGATAAAGAATGCATCTAACGTTCCGCTGTTCATTATAATACAAAAACAGAGCATTAAACAAACCATCATGCTCTTACTTTGAAATCATGCGGAAATGTCGTCAACAGCGGGCCATCACGTGGTTTCCGAAAATCACCGAGTGACACGAGTAGATTTGAGCCGAGACCGGCGGAAAATATGTCTCAAAATTCCGTGTGTGTAAAAAGACGATCCACGAGCAGAGATTTGAGATCCACGAGCGCATTTTTGTTCGACAAATACAAAATGGATTCACAAATGCCTGATCGAAAGTTGTAAATGTTAAAGAGATAATAAATCACATATTTACACACATTATTTTTATGTTCACACAAATAATTATGAGACATATCTATGCCCATAGACCTCAGATGATCCAGACTCATTTGCATTGTTCTAATTGCTCTGAATATGTGCTGGTTTAGTTTCATGAAGCTAGAACTTAACTGGATTTCTATTAAAATAATAACTTTGTTTGTTCCAGGCTCCTCAATCCTTCTCACCTGAACTCACAACTGAGTCTTCATACAGGTAATCCTATAACATGACCAAACATTATTTTAAACACATTACAAATATATATTAATTTAATTGTGTTTGATTTCATGTCTTTCACCTTGAGGAATTGCATCCGATCTCTTTCCAACAGACAATAAAATAATGCCTCTGTGTAGGAAGGATTGTTTTCTTGTACCAGTCTAGATCCTCGCTGGACTAGACATTGTGTTAATTTAATGAAGGTGTGTGTACACACACATCCTGATGCATGTGGACACATCTTCAGTGATGTTCCTGTAATCATCAGGTGTTTCAGATCTTACATCAAACCCTCCTGCAGGTCAGACTCCAGCTGGATGAACACCTGTCAGTCAGAACACAGGCCAGTGAAGCTTGTTGTAGTAACTTGTCCCCTGCGTGTCTACAGGTTCAGGTGTCCTGGTCCAGGTGAGTTCCAGTGTGCTTCGACTGGCCTGGTGTTCGTCATGGCTCAGGAGGCGGAGCTTCTGTACAGGGCGGTCCCTTGGGAGGAGAGCCTCCTCCAATCAGCTGGCAAGCAGGCAGCAGGGCCGCTGTTCGACGTGAAGAGTTCTGATGAAGCTGCCGTCTGCCAGCTCCACCTGCCACACAGTGAGACAGAGGATGGTAAAGACATCTAGTGTTAACAAATATACTTATATGATTAGCACCTTATACTCTCCACTACTGTTCAAAGGTTATGAATCAGCTTTATTAAACTAGTTTAATAAAGATAAGATCATTCAAACACCAAATCTGTTCTTTACATTCAAATAGTTTTGTCCCCAAAAGAAGAAGAATGAAATTATAAAACGTCCATTTAGTCGATGTGTTTCATGACATCATTGATCATCATTGAAGCAGACGATGCAATGCAGCTCTAAATACTGAGTTGGATTTTCTTTGCGCCCTCTGCAGTCTCCTCTCTGTAATATTAAAGAGATTTAAACTGTGATTGGTCAGTCCACAGCATGCTCTGCTGCTAACAGTGCTAACTCAACGCTAACTCTCTGTTACTGTTGTGATGCTAAGCTAGCAGTTTGAATACTTCTTACTTTGATTTCCATCTGTTGCTCTTTCTGCTCTTCACACTGTCAGTCTGGCTGAACCATGAACAAAACAAAACAACAGACAACAACATTTATAAGTTAGACTTTCTACGCCCTGAAAGCTTTAGAAGACTCTTCACACATCTAGAGAATCACTCAGACATGAGACCGGACTCAGTCAAGCTGTTCTGGCTGCAGATTGCAAACATTTCAGTAAATGCTCACATCCAGAAAGATCACAGGGGGCAGATCAATAATTACACATTAGGATAAAAGGTGGAGGATATAAACTGGTACATCCTAGTGAGGCTCCAAAGTGAATTAGATGAACATTAGCTCTGAGCTAACGTGGTGGGACATTGAATATGATGAAGCTGTTTCAGCAGCAAAGCAACAGATGACCAGCTCTTTGCTCCACAGCGCTGCTCCTGGACGGCCTGTTGTCTGTCGTCCACATCACTGATGAAGGCCTGAGCATCTTGGAGCCGCTGGAGGTCACACGCACTCACGTGGTGGTGAAGGTGCTTCACCTCTCTCCGTTTGGCCTCATCATCGATAAATTGAAAAGGCTTCTAAAGTGGCGGATAAATGGCCAAGTTCTGGTGTTCCTACGACCCCCGGGCCGAGAGGAGCAAATACTGGATGTATTTCTGCTGCACAACAACGTCCCTGAGGAGGAGGTAAAGTGCTCACCATCAGACTAAACACTGATTGAAACCATAGCTGTTTCCACAGAGAAGTTGTGGCCCCAAGCTCCCTACTGAATAGAATATAATATAATTGGAGGATTGCAACCCTCTTTAATGGTCACACATACATGCACACAGTGAAATGTGTTCTCTGCTTTTTACCCATCCTAGTCTAGCACTAGGAGCAGTGGGCAGCTATTGCACAGCGCCTGGGGAGCAACAGGAGTGGGGGGGTGGGGGGGTGGGGGGTGTCCAATGCCTTGCTCAAGGGCACCACAGCAGGGCAGGAGGTGAACTGGGACCTCTCCAAGTAGCAGTCCACACTTCATATTTAACATCTGTTCAGGGACTTGAACCAGCGGCCCTACAGCTCCCAGTCCAAGCCCCTGCTGTTTGAGCCACTGCCGGACACTGCTCCTCTTTTCAAACTTTCTTGGTTGGGAGAAGACTCAGATGAGCCACACTCTACTTTGGTTATCAAACTCAAAGTTTACCTTAATACTTTAAAATACGTCAAATTAATGTTAAGATGTTGTGGCCCCAAGCTCCCTACTGAGAGAGATAACATGATAACACAATTAGTCTCATAATCTGAAAATCTGAGTTTACTCTGTGAACATAGGCTGATTTACTTCACACACAAAACACATACCATGGTTCTTTATAAATGAAATAATCATGAACTGCTAAGAATATATAAACCACAGAATAACATAAGTATTATATCAATAATGTGATGATGAATGTATGAATGGCAGGTTACATAATTAACATCGACAGTAAATCAGATGGTTAGCAAATACTGAAAGGCACGGTTGAAACACTCAACAACTGAAAGATTGAGAGGAAGTATTTTGAGAGTCCAACCCTAATCGTTACCTTGGTTGCTGATTGGCTAATGGTTGCACAAGCCAAAACATCGTTATGACATCATAAAGTGGCCACAATCTGATCAGCTCATTTTCAGACAGGTTTTTATAGAAATGGATCAAAAAGAGAGAGAATCTTTGTTCCTCAAACTTTCAGAGTCTCTTTCCACAGAGGGGACACATGTTGATGTAGAAGAGACATGAAGAAGAGGGGACACATGTTGATGTAGAAGAGACATGAAGAAGAGGGGACACATGTTGATGTAGAGGAGACATGAAGAAGAGGGGACACATGTTGATGTAGAAGAGACATGAAGAAGAGGGGACACATGTTGATGTAGAAGAGACATGAAGAAGAGGGGACACATGTTGATGTAGAAGAGACATGGAGAAGAGGGGACACATGTTGATGTAGAAGAGACATGAAGAAGAGGGGACACATGTTGATGTAGAAGAGACATGAAGAAGAGGGGACACATGTTGATGTAGAAGAGACATGAAGAAGAGGGGACACATGTTGATGTAGAAGATACATGCAGAAGAGGGGACACATGTTGATGTAGAAGAGACATGAAGAAGAGGGGACACATGTTGATGTAGAAGAGACATGAATAAGAGGGGACACATGTTGATGTAGAAGAGACATGAATAAGAGGGGACACATGTTGATGTAGAAGAGACATGAAGAAGAGGGGACACATGTTGATGTAGAAGAGACATGAAGAAGAGGGGACACATGTTGATGTAGAAGAGACATGAAGAAGAGGGGACACATGTTGATGTAGAAGAGACATGAAGAAGAGGGGACACATGTTGATGTAGAAGAGACATGAAGAAGAGGGGACACATGTTGATGTAGAAAATACATGAAGAAGAGGGGACACATGTTGATGTAGAAGAGACATGAAGAAGAGGGGACACATGTTGATGTAGAGGAGACATGAAGAAGAGGGGACACATGTTGATGTAGAAGAGACATGAAGAAGAGGGGACACATGTTGATGTAGAAGAGACATAAAGAAGAGGGGACACTAGTTGATGTAGAAGAGAGATGAAAAAGTGGATTTTGCTCAATAGGTGACCTTCAAATCATTAACTGAAAATGACCATAACCAAGCGTATGGACCGCATTGTCTTACTGAACCGATGAGCGGTGGCTGCTGTGCAAAACCCTACATTCCTGAGACAACATTTTTCATGACAAACGTAGGAAAACATCTCGTAGCTTGAAAAATGACAAATAATTAAGCAAAAATAATTAAACAAAGTGCCTCTTGAGGGCATGAAGTGACAAAAACGTTCAACATTCCTCCATTAAAGCCCATTGTAATTTCAGGCTGATATCTCCTCACATCGGCAGCCGCACACCTTTAGTTAATCTGCCAAAAAGGCCACATTATTGACCCGAAAGTACACAAAAAGCACACTTCAGATACTCAACTTCCTTGAGATACTTCACGCTTTGAAATTTCACCGATATCTGTTACGGTTCTTTAACAAAACGTTCACATGTAACAGGTTTATCTCTCATTCAGAACAATGAAAACCTTTGATCTCTGGACACCTCGTTAGCTCAAATAGAAACACCTGTGTAATGGAACACGATGATGTCATCGCTCCAATGACATGCTCAGAGCAGCAGACTTCAGATAAAGGTTAACGGCCCTGCCCTCAACAGCTCTATGTCAAATATGGGGTGTCATCATCATATGCCGTTTCCATCCCTCTCCATAAAAGACGATGTCCCTATAACTCCTATGAAAATGTTCAAAAAGTGCTCAAACTTCACATGTGTGCTAACAGTCCAGCCGTGAAGACATCTACGGGACAGTTTTGAAATTTCTTCAAATGCTGTTGCCATGGCAACACAATGCTCGTCACCATGTAACACGGTTTTCTCATAACTTCAGTGAAAATTCTCCAAACGGCCCAAAACTTCACAGGTTTGGTAACGATGCAGCCATCAACGCATCTAAGCGTATTATGGGATGTCATCAAATGCCGTTGGCATGGTGACAGATCATTTGCAACCAAGTTAGTTCAAAAGTTTGCAGTTCAAATATTCTGCTGCTTCTCCAAGCCTTTTTACTTTATTTTCTTCTCTCATCACACATTCAAGCCCCCAGTGTTCATGTATCATTTCAATCTAAATTCTTCACTTTCTTCTTACACATTACATTTCAGCATAGCAATTCAGCTTTTCAGCATAAAGCATTCCAACTAGCAATTTCTTCAGGAATTGCATTCTCTAGTTCCCCCTATTACTCGTTTTATGAAGGAGATGTCCGGTCACTAAGGCACATGGTGTGTGTGTGTGTGTGTGTGTGTGTGTGTGTGTGTGTGTGTGTGTGTGTGTGTGTGTGTGTGTGTGTGTGTGTGTGTGTGTGTGCTCTCTGCTCTGCTCTGCTCTGCTCTGCTCTGCTCAGCTCAGCTCAGCTCTGCTCAGCTTTGTGCGTGTGTGTTCGTATGTGCCCGACACCGGCCTGTTTTCAAATGACCATGAACATTAATTTACACACATCTGGCCAACTACATAGGTATATGTGTGTGTTCCCAAGTGAAGAAGTTTGTTTAATCTTAATCTCGATGTAGTGCTCAGTCCTATCGGAGTGCACCGGAACAAACGACACTTTCATAATATCTTCTGAAAACAAATGCCATTGTCACACATACACACGCCCTGGCGACCGGACATCTCCTTCATAAAACTAATAATATGGCGTAATAATCGGGCAGTTCGGTGTGTGTGTGTGTGTGTAGAGGTGTGTGTGGTTAAAACGTAGCAGCGTCGATCTCTATTCAGCTGTTCTAATGAAGGTAAACACAGTGAAGGTGGTGCGTAAAAGGCACATCTCTCCTACTTGGCGAACCGGTAACTTTCTTGCATGAGATACATTCTTTATTTTTTTCATGACCCTTTAGGGCAGGGGTGGTGAACCTTTATCCTCTCAAGGGCCATTTCAATTTTTACAACATCTTCAGATGGCCGTACAAATTATTGAACTCAACGTCTGCTTAAATAAACTAAAATCACAGCCCATTCATTTCGCCATTCTTTCATGCTGTGCAAAGAAAAAGCAACCTCTTAATCCAGACATCTTACCATGACTCGCGCATGCATGCACGTGCACGGTGTGGCATGACCACCAAAACAGAAAGATATGGACACAAGATGTGTGCAAATGTAGTTAGTATCCTATCCATGTGAGCATGATTTAAGTAGGGGGGGGGGGGACCTAACCTCCTCGAGGGGGCTCTGGGGGCATGCTCCCCCGGGAAGATTTTTTTTTAAATATTGAAGTTAAAAGCATCAATCTGGTGCACTTTAAGAGCAACATTAGGAGATCTATGGATACATCTCTCAACACCCATATGAAACAGAACTGTAAGCAGATTTATTTTTCTTTATGGATATTTTACAAATCACTCCCCTTTCAAACTGTATTCTTGTTTATTAATAATAACTTTTTTTTACTGTCATATAGTATTTTATACCAGTTTTTCCTTTATTCTCTTATTTTTATATAATGATCATATAAAGATGTGCCTTAACTGGTTGTAGAAAAAGCTTCTTATATTCGTTAGCATAGCTAGCTAACCAGATGCTAATAACAACAAAGTTATTGACAGTCTTTTAATTTGTTTTGTAAAGCACTTTGAATTATCGCGTACAGAAAAGTGTTATATAAATAAACTTGCCTTGCATGATCAGTATGACAGATGAACAAATCGCCACTGGGCTTTCAACTAAAGACACAGCCACGCAAAAACTGCGGCATGTGTACGGCTCCTTATATGCTTATATCCTTATTATGGGTACTGCATTTTGTGAAGTCCCGGCCCGGAGCGGCGTTCTGGTGCTCTCCGTCAGCAGAGGTTGCGCTAGACTTTTTCGGATTCGCAGGATTGTAGCATTTCCGTCAAAATCCATTATGACCCGTCGGGGGTGGGGGGGGGTGAACTGTTAGCGCCGGTGTTATGCCGTATTATGCATGCTCACTGCACCTCGCTGGAGCGTGCCACAGCGTAAAGTAAAAACTCAAAGACATATCAATTATTTGTACGGCAAAGTTAGGTTTGGAAACTATATAATTTCCTTTTTGGCGGGCATGCTTAACACCGGAGCCTCGCTGCGGGGAAGCTTTGGTGCTGTTCTGAGTTTGTTCTAATCTGTCAAAATGACGGACTGTTTTCAGATTTTTCCGTCATTGTTAAAAAAAATCCGTCATAGGCGGAAAATATTCGGTTAACGCGACCTCTGCTTCAGAGTCACTTGCTTCAGCAGCTAGGCAAGAATCCTTCCTGGCATTCGGAAAACGAAGAGTGGAACAGGCTAGCAAGTGTGCAGGTGTGCTCATATGAGAGGCCCCGCCTTACATTTTCCGCCACAGATTTGGGGAAATTGGTCCGTGCGCAAAGCATTGTGGGGATTTTAAGGACGCAAAGTCTACCCATGTGCAGCCTCAAAATTACCCCCAAACCAAGGACGCGGCCTCGGTGGAATTCCAAGTATGCTGGACATTGGAACAGTCCTTCGGCGGCACTCGATGACGTAGCATCCTTGAAATATTGGCTTGGAAGCCAGTATCCTTGCGATTGAGAAACGGCCACAGTCAGACGAGACATATACCACGTGATGACACGTTAGGCTCGTGTTGTGTTCAAGGACCCTGACCTTGGCCAGGAAAAACAGGCACTAGCTTGTTTGATTATTTTGCTGTCTAGATTTCTTGAATTGTTTTCTATTTTGCGTGTGTTTATAAATTACCTCGAGGGCCGTACCAAATGGTCTCGCGGTCCGTATACGGCCTGGAGGCCGGAGGTTCCCCACCCCTGCTTTAGGGGCTCCGTAAACAACCCTAATAAATATATAAAAACATGTGTTGGAGAGTTGGAATTTCATCCAAAAATATCTAACCTATACACTTTAATTAATCTACTCACATATGTCCTCATGATGTTATTCTTAATTGATTGTAATTCTTATCTCTCTGTACTGCAGGTCTGTCAACATATGTTGTTTTAAATTGATCAAATTGTCCTGTTACTGAAGGTTGTTAAAAAACACAAACGGGCTGTGAACATCCCAATCTCCTCCGACTGTGAGCTGGACATTGATCACAGTTACAGTGTGCACTGTGAACCTGAGGGCTTCTTCATTCAGCCTGAGGTGAGTCACTGATGCTCCTTTAAAGAAACACAATGATCATTAACACACATGTATCTGCATTTGGATCCACAATCAGGAAAGAAACAGATACACATTTCACTTCTGTTTCTGGTTTTCAGAGTAAAACTTTTAAATCCATGTTTGGACCAAACTACCATCCGACATTTCAAGTGTCCCTGATGACGAGCACAGAGAGAGTGTTCTTGAAGGTCCAGAACCAAGGTGGAAATGAAGTCTGGAATTATCGCGTGTCACTGGAAGGTAAAGACTCCACCTGAGCTCAGACCCAGTGATAGACTGTTTAACTCTAAAGCTCCATCTCATAGCCTTCTCTATTAAGACTCCATGGCAGCGTATCATTACGACATTAAACACACAACCTGTTATATTCTAAAACTATAGTAAAAACTAGTGTGGTGGTGAAACAGCGGGGCATCATGGGAGTTGTAGTCTTCAGCTTCTCGTGGTTAAGTGGATACACCGCCATTACAGGAGACCGTGATGAACGTACTGTTACCTTGATTAAAATTACACGTCTCTCTGAACCATTTGGGATAATGTACGTACACAACTCAACACAATATAAATAATACAGGTGTAAGAGTTTTTATACATTATGAGGAAATGCTACATATTATAACTTTAGGTGAACAGAAATCCACCTCTGGGAATGCTGAGTTATACTTTAATTGTTAAGAGATCTGTTTAATGTGATTGTTGGTTAACAAAAGTATTTTCCCTGTTTTTCTTCCAGATCCAAGGAAGGAATTGTCCCAGAGAAATGTCCCAGCAGAGAGCAGAGTCCCAGCAGAGAGCAGAATCCCAGCAGAGAGCAGAGTCCCAGCAAAGGAGTGGCTGCTCTCAGTTCGGACAGAGTTCATTCAAAGAGTGTCTCTATCCGTCCTGAAGGACCTTCTGGATAAACTCTTTCAGTCTGAAGTGATCAATGAATCTGAAATGGAGTCAGCCAAAACCAAATCCCGAAATGACGGAGCACGAGAGGTGGTGGACGTGGTGCGAAATAAAGGAGCTGCAGCCAGCAGGGTTCTGATCAATGCTCTCCGTGAGCTGGACCCGCTTCTTTACGAAGAGCTCAACTCGAGCTGAGGCAAAACCTCGTGGAGTGTGTGAAAGCCCCTGCTAGTTTTGACAGTTGAAGTCCTGTCCTCTGTTTTGTTACCTGTACATTTCCCCCCTTGTCCTTGAAGGTATCACAGATTCTGAGCGAAGGCCACTTTCCTTCTCTCTTTTCTCCTGGACTCCCTCCTGAGAGCAGCTACCCGTATTGGCCTTCCTTTGGTATTATCTTGATATTTTTTCAAGTAGTTGTTCACTTTATTACATACAATCAGTGTTTCCCCTAGGTTTACTGCTTTGGGGGGTGCTGCCTGGCCGGGGGGGGGGGGGGGGGTCAGTCGTTGTCCGAGTCAAATCTACAGAAAATAAACAAGTCAGACACTGAAACATGCACATGAATTGGATAATAAAAGTCCACATTTTCAATGTGAAAAATGACCGTCGATAGATTACTTCAGTTATATATATATATATTTTATATATAGAAAAAAAGAAAGGAAAAAAAAACACCTTGAATTTCAGGGGGGGCGCGGGGCTCCGTTGTCTACCAAGACAATGGGGAAACACTGATACAATACTTTAATTTGCCAGAATCCATTGCGTCCTTTCACATTTTTGTCAGGCAAACCACTGGACCTTCCTTTATGAGAGGAGAGGAGAAAATGCTGCCCCACAATGCATTGCAGCCGCAGCATTTACCGTCACACAACAGTCGGCCGTTCACGGAAACAACCGATTATGACCGAGAAATGATATCATGAAAGTTATGGTGCTTATTACGCATTTTAAAATGTATGTGGTAAGTTGCCAAAGTGCTTTGTTTTGAACATTCATCAGTATTATAATCAAAAAGAGAAATATGAACGTTAGTTTTTACTGAAATGATCAAATAAAGTCAACATTTCACAGTCTTTACTGAGCTGTGTGGGGTTGTTCAACTTTTAAAAGATGTTTGAATGGTGATATACACAGAGATAGATGGTAAGGACTAACGTTTATAATAAATACATCTGTATTGATTTTAAGATCTTTTCATCAATCATACGTATTGGGATCATTTGTATTAATGTGGACCGGAGGGAGAGGGTGACGAGCATCAGTTTCACTTTCCTTTTTTATTTCAATTCCAGCTTTAGTCATGAAGAATATGTTTCTCTGTTGTCCACGTTCATAAAGCATAAAGCAACAGCATCAGAGCACGGTGCAGAGTCTCTAGATGAGTTTACAGGAGTCCCTCGTTCTTATTGAACATCCATGTTGTAGTCCGCTGTATAGAGATCTGTAGTTTCCATAGTTTCCCCACAGCAGCAGACGCACATTCATGACGTCCGCTGGCGCATCATAAACATGTCGGATAGTGAAAGTGCATTCGGATTCTCTAAAGTACCGCAGTCTCTTCTCCTAAGTCCTTTTGAATTCTCCTATCCACTATCCCTTAACCCCGTGACGTTTCACTCAGAGGTCAAGGAATAGGAGATAGGGTTAGAACTTAGGAGCTGATTGTTGGACTATTCGACCGCAACCTTGGGCTATAAAGGAACTACAGCACGGTCACATGACTTCACGTCACCACCGCTAAGCTAAAGGAGGCTAATGTTGGGCTATAAAGGAACTACAGCACGGTCACATGACTTCACATCACCACCGCTAAGCTAAAGGTGGCTAATGTTGGGCTATAAAGGAACTACAGCACGGTCACATGACTTCACGTCACCACCGCTAAGCTAAAGGCGGCTAATGTTGGGAGTGATGACATTTATTGCGCACATCCACTACAGCGCGGAGCGCGGTTTAAGGGTGCCACGCCTGGCCCGTTTTTGGTTGCGTTTTCACTTGGCGTGGTTCCGGTTAGCGGGTACTTTTTCAGTTTTCTGGCTCTCCAAAATCGAGGTTCTTTCCGGGCCAACAACCGGGCTGAGTATGCTAAACAAAATGAACATATTTTACCGTGATTTAATTGTAATACACGTTTCAAAATGATGCCGAAGTAACAACATACTGATACCGGTTTGTAAAAAAACATGAATTAATGCTTTGACAAGTCTGCAGACAGACGAAAAACTTTTTTAAATGCGTGTTTTCTGAATGGAGATTGGCTAAGCCAGTGGTTCCCAACCTACTAACTTGAATAAAAATTCAAGTTAGTAGCTATTAATAATAATAATTTCAATTTCTATAGCGCTTTTCACGAAACCCAAGGACGCTTTACAATGGGAAGTAACAACAACAACAAAAAAGTAATAACAATCATACAGATACATAGGCTGAAGAAAACAAAACAGGAACAGTTTGCTGGATACCGCATATTAGTTGAGGCCAAAGGCCTGAGTGAACAGATGGTGTTTGAGGTGTTTTTTGAAGGTGTCCAGAGAGTCTGCATTCCTGATTGCAGAGGGTAGAGGATTCCAGAGGGTGGGGGCTGTGACACTGAAGGCTCTGTTGCCAAATGTTTTCAGCTTGGAGCGCTGGATGGAGAGCAGCCCTTTGTCGGAGGACCGCAGGTGACGAGAGGGGGTGTAGGGCTGAAGGAGGTCAGAGATGTATGGAGGGGCTAGGGAGTGGAGAGATTGATTTATCTATTAAAGGCATAAAAATATATAAATGTATAATTCTTTCTTTAATAGAAATGTTTCTTCTGCCCGTAAAGTGTCCAAACCAGGCTTTTCTGGATAAGCGCATTTTTAAAACATAGTCATTGTCCATGCCGGTTTCAGTTGGATTATTTGTCACAGTTGCTCCGATCAGATCGGTCTCCTCCATTTTGTAGATTATGTACGACTTTTGAATCCACATAAACACATCGGCAAAATCTGGCTTACTTTGAGCATGTGTTTTAAACAGTTTAATCCCTTTGTGAATTGTTTCCACTTGCGCCGTCCTTTCATTTCTTCATACAGCGGGAATCCAAATGAATTCATCCTGAGTCCAATAACCATCAAAGTCACTCCAATAGTGCTCCTTAACTATGCTTTCATCCTCCTTTAACAAAATACTTCACATTCATCCAGTTTATGACGGTAGTTGTAGCATTTTGAGACTTTTAAAACTTTTGTGTGTGTGTGTGTGTGTGTGTGGGGGGGGGGGGCGCAACTTCCAACAGGAGTCATTTGGGGGGGCTCTTGGGAAAAAAGGTTGGGAACCCCTGGGCTAAGCTAACGCAGTATATGCTCCGACCGTTCACAAGAACGGCCTATACAGACATAAATAAAGCAGCGACTGTATTCTCCATGACAGACAGTCTGTGGTTTGTACTTGTTTAACTTTTGTCTAGTTTCTGAACAGATATGAGGAGCTGTGAGCTCTGAGGGCTAACGGCTGATGTTGGTTGTGTGTTCTGCCCACACTGCGTTACTATAGATACTGCCCCAGTTCCTAAACTGTAATGGAAACGCAGCATAAAGTGAGCCTGGCCTAACAAGGCCTAACGAGGCCTAGCCATACCGTACTAAGCCGAGCGAGGCCCTGCAGTGGAAAAGCGCCATTAGTCATCTCATTTAGACACTTCTTAGCAACATGCTATTGATGCACATACTCTTCAATCCTTCATTGTGATGGATCCCCTGCTATAGATACAGTGTTGAACTTCCAACCCAGTCTCACAAAAAAACGTGTAATAACTACGTTGGTCCACAACTTGGGACGTAGTATTTCTACAAAAACGCCTCTGAAATTGTAAGATCCCTACGTCTTTTTTCACCATTCATTCTAATGGCTGGCGTCTATGTCACATGATCTTCAAATTTCTCCCTTCAGAAAAAAAAACATGGCCGAACTTCGTTTTATTCTCGGTGGAAAATGCCTATTTTAAGGTTAGTTTGGCCATTAAAATGCGTTTTGATGTCATTTGATGCGAGAAATGTGAGTTGTTATTTCAGAGTATGTGTGCAGTAGATGTACACAATCTTAAGTTTGCTAGTTATTACGAAGATTACTTCAGGAAATTGTGTCTATAAAACGTTTTCATTGTTACCAAGGTGGTTGCTAGTGTGGCGGCACGTGGGGGTGTTTGTTGGAAATCCTATTCAACTAAAAGCCAGACAACGCCACCTTGGGAATTGCACCCAAGGAAATAATTATTCCAAGTACCAACAAGGCACTCAGGTTCGTGATACTGAGGGGTAGGAGACGTGGTTCCAATTTATCAAATGTTTTATTTCTGGCATTAAAATATCATTAAAAACACCATAAGATAATTATACACACTGGAAATGAAGAGGGGAACTCTTAATTCAGGGATGCTGAGGCTTACCAGTGGATGGAGGTGACGAGGGGTGAGAGGGATCCCAACAAAGTAAATTAAGGCACCCGTGATCACTACACACTCACACGAAGGAACACAAATCGGGGGTAGCACAGCACGACACACAAAGGGGGAAGCCACCACCGGGGACACCAGCACCACACCTTTGGCTCTCAGCAACTAAGAAGGGCAAACAATAAACAATTACTGGGATAAACAGTAAACACAAATTAATACACCGACCAACACATAAGATAAGTATAAGACAATAAAAAGTCAAGAATACTACAAAATACTGATTTCAAGTAACTGAAATAAACAAAACAAATGTAAAGCAACAGGGTCGAAAACTAAACCAAAGAAACGAAAATCAACCTAACAGTCTACTTAATCTTGAATTAAATAAACAAAACAAACTTAACTCAATGAAATAACTAATCATGAACAGAGATTAATCGAACAGTCCACGAGAACAATGTTTAAAATATGGCCCTGTAATGAAGAGCAAAGGCACAGTGATACCAAGACAGACAATGTAGGCCAAGAGCAACACCCGCCAGGCAGTAGTGGCGGTGAAGCACAGTAGGGCAGGCCGACTGTGCAGACAGACACAGCCGTGAGGGCAGACCAGCGGTCCAGGCAACAGGCAGGCAGGCAATACTATGGAGTCAGATTTGGGTCAATATTCTAGCGCGTAAAACAAGCTACTCACTAGCGGAAAATGTGATTTTACACGCGCCTAAAATGACCCTCGCGCGCAGATTAAACCCCCGCAAGGAGAGAGAGCCCTCTTGCTCGCTCGCGGGAGTGTCAGCTTCACTCGCTCGCGGAGTCTGTCTACGCGCGCATGAAAAGTTTCTGGCACTTTGGGACGGAGCCACTGGACTTTGATTGACAGCTGCCAGGAAGCCCGGAGTTGCCAGGTTTGATAAATGCATGAACTACCAAGAGCCGAGGAGTGACAGCGGCAAGATCAGGTGGACGAGATTGAATGGTAAAGTTGTCCATAAAAAACTATTATATTCGTAAAGTGTACAACTAATATATATATATATATAAATCAATTTGATATAAAAAAATCACACATTAATTCTGAGTGCAATACTTTTACAAACACTATAGTAATAATATGCATTCATTATACTATTACTATAGGAGTGTTCTATAGTGTGTTCAAAAAACAACTACAGAAACACTATATAGTATACTATAGTAGTACTATTTAAAATAATAGTCTTAATACGGAAACACCAACAAAAACACTATAGTAATACTTTTACAAACACTAAAGTAATAATATGCATTCACTATGACAATATCATGCTATTAGGAGTGTTCTATAGTGTGTTTAAAAAACAACTACAGAAACACTATATATTATACTATTTAAAATATAGGAATACTACAAAGATCTAGATATATAGTGTTACTATTGAAATATTATAGGGCTACTATAGCTAATAAAATGGCACTACAGAAAAAACTATTGTAATACAATAGCTGGTGAAAAATACTACAGAACACTACAAACTTACTAAAGGACACTATACAACTCTTATAGTATACTATAGTAATACTATAATTCATTTATAGTTC